GATTTGAAGGAGTTAAAGGTAAGTAGAAAATTCGAGGGTAAGTCAAAGAGTTTTGGCAGAAAGTGGAGAAGTGAAAAAGGGTCGGAGTTTTTATAGGGGAAGAACCATCAATACACGACATTTTGCATTCGAGGATAGTCAACCGGCGGCTGACACGTGTCCGAAGTCAGAATGACGCAATTGATGGGACGTTTCATTGACCCAACAACTCGGTCGTAACGTACGAAGGAAGGAACCGAAGTTCACTTTTCGCTTCCCATCGCTTCGATAAATCCATCCTCCGAAAAATAAAGGGGACTATATGTATACGGGTAAAATTGGGGGCAATATCTACCTCGATTCCCCGATAAGTGAACGAAGGGGAGCACAGAATCGGGAGATTGCAATCTAGGTCAGAGACCCTCCGTATCGAGAACCTGGAAGAGTGAAAGGTATATCCGACATCGGACATTGTAAAGTACGCGCCTCGGGCCAAGTGTAAGTTCTAGACCTCGGAAGGCACGGTGAACGATTGTGCATGACGGATAGAGGGTCGTAATACTCGCCCTCAACCGGATATCACAGAGTGAATCTCGCTCGATATCGATTATGGATCAACAATTACCGGGAAAAGAAATTTTTTACCTTTTTAAACTTATACTAGGATTGAAACTCTCCTACTATATAAAATGGAAGTTTTTCCTTTTGTAACACACATTGTGACACGCAAATCAAAGCAATAAAGGACTTCGTTCATTTATTCTACTCTCCATTCACGACTGGGCTCGATTCGAGGGTCTAATCGAGGATGAGGTCACTGTTCAATCTAAGTTCAGGCTTGGTCATAACATTGCAATTGGTTTGATCGTTTATTTCGTCTCTAATTCATTTATATGATATTTTTAATTATTTGTGTTGAATTAAATCATATATCCTTAAAATCGCGTACAAATTTAATTGTTATCCAATTTTTGGGATAACATCATCTATTCACTACTGATGCGTTAACAGTTTCGATCGATATCTTAAGCAGTCACCTTTTTGTGCATGGAATTAATTCTAATAATAGAAAACAAGAATATTAGGACCATAACACTTACTAATGACATATTCACACAATATAATCGGTAGATATAAACCACCTATTGATGAAACTATCATACAAGGAAAATTAAAGATTAAATTTGCTTCGTCAAAAGTTACAAGGATCAATATCAGAATTTATTAATAATTAAGTGATAAAAAATGCAATTATTCCTTTAATAAGTTTACAAACATTTACTGTGAAACAACAAGAAAAAGAAAATGGAAAAAATTATTTGGGACTAAACTTTAAAAACTAGCCCACGGGATTTTTTCCCGAATTTCTTTATTCCCACCAACAGGTCATGTCTCTCCTAATCCCAATTCTTTATGATCATCACATCTTCTTTTTCTTTTCTTTTTTTTTTCCATTAAAGACAAAGTCATTATCTTCTAACACTAATAGAATCATCTAATCAGATTTCTATTACAATAAAAACACCAATTAACTTGCGCAAGAGCAATGGTCATAATTTGTTTCGAATTCGAAATATAATTACGAGTCGGCCAGTTAGTCTCTTATCCTTTTGAAGAGTTTAAGTTTTGTCCTGAAACTCTATAATTAAGTTATTACCTATTTATAATAGGTAACTGTTTAGAGTAATATGATCTGATATAATCTAAATAACAGAGTAAATAAATTTTTACTCTTTTACTAATTACGGAAAATAGTAAAAAGACTATTAGGACCATAAAATCCACAAACGAAATATCACATACTCCAATAATAATTGGCAGATAAAAAGCACCTAATAATGAAAAAAGCTAGCACGAAATATAATTGTCAATAATTAGCATTGAATATTTCGTACTTAAACAAAAATAGTTACCACTTTTATCTAAAACTCAAAATCCGCAAACCCCCTAATCCAACTATAATTCTGTTCTATCACAAACTTCTCTTTACTAAAATCTTTATCCTACGGAATTTTGGTGAAATTCCTCTCTATAAATACCAAACTCTCGTTCACTTTACAAGCACTCAGTTTTTACAAAGCTTTCTTGTTTTTATCTTCAGTGAGAGATTCTTTTAGTTTTCTCTATAATACAAAAAGAGAGAAAGAGAGATGGATCTTGATCTTACACCAAAGTTGGCAAAGCAATTGCACGGAGGAGATGGTGGTTCTTATTATGCATGGTGTCCTAATGAGCTGCCTATGTTAAAAGAAGGAAATATTGGTGGTGCTAAACTTGCTCTTTCTAAAAATGGCTTTGCTTTGCCTCGTTACTCTGATTCTGCTAAAGTTGCCTATGTTCTTCAAGGTAAAATCTGGGTCCCTTGTTTTTGGGTTATGATCATAATTTGGGGTTTTTGTGTTTACTGTTTAGAGTTCTATATCTCCCACTTGGGGTTTTTATTGGTGTTTTTTACTTTTATGTTTATGAATCGTAATGGGTTTGTTGTTTTGATTTATGGGATCTTGTTAAATTTTGTTCTTTAGAATAAATATTTACTACTCCATTGTTTAGGAATTCTATAATCCTACTTGCGTTTTGTTGTTTTGGTTGGTGGGGTTGTACTCTGAGCCGTAGTCAGTATTTTAAACTTATGAGTTCGGAATTATAATCCTTTTTAAGTTAGTGGGTTCTATATTAAGAATCTGTATATATTCAATGGATTTGTTATAACAAATACATGATTTGTATCAAAGCTAATGGGTTTGACTGAGCCCGGAATCGTAAGGCTATCTCCGACCTGTACTTTTGTTGTAGTTTTGTGTTTTTAATGGAATTTACTTGTTTTGATTTGGGGTTTTGGTTATTAGTCTTGGTTTTGATGGTTTGGTTTAGAATCTAGGTCTTGCGTGATCTATTTATTACTATTTGATTATGATGTTAAGGTCTAAGAATTTGATCCCTCTTTTACTGTAAATCTTTTTTTCTTTTTTTTTTTGATTGTGACATGGTTTGAGTAATTATGATTTAAATTGTTAAGATCATTCTACTTTGAGTAATGATAGTTGGTATTTATGACCAATTAGTATAGCACCTAGGTTTCTATTTACTGCTATAAAGAGAGCTAAGCTATGCATATATGATACAATTCTATATTACTTGGTTACTTTGTAAATACTTCCTGTTAATTACTGTGAATTGTGTGGTTGAATTAAAGATTTAAATCCGTAAGTTTCTTGATGCCTAATGATTTTGTGATAGTGTATGGTAGTATATGTAGCTTACAACTTTTAAATACATTGTATACAGATCTGCTTATTGAGTTCTTTTCTGAAAATTTATCTGAATTCTATCAGGTTCTGGAGTTGCTGGAATTGTTCTTCCAGAGAAAGAAGAGAAGGTGCTAGCGATTAAGACGGGCGATGCTTTAGCCCTCCCTTTTGGTGTTGTAACATGGTGGTACAACAAAGAGGACACAGAACTTGTGATTCTCTTCCTTGGTGATACCAAAACTGCACACAAAGCTGGTTCATTCACCGACATGTACTTGACCGGCTCAAATGGCATTTTCACTGGTTTTTCAACTGAATTTGTTAGCAGGGCATGGAATTTAGAAGAGAGTGTTGCTAAAACTCTTGTTAGCTCCCAAACTGCTCAGGGTATCGTGAAGCTTGACTCAGGCTTCCAAATGCCTGAGCCTAAGCAAGGCCACAGGGACGGCATGGTTCTCAACTGTTTGGAAGCCCCGTTGGATGTTGACATTAAGGGTGGTGGAAAGGTTGTTGTTTTGAACACCAAGAACTTGCCTTTGGTCGGCGAAGTTGGACTTGGTGCTGATCTTGTGAGGTTGAATGGAAGTGCTATGTGCTCTCCCGGTTTTTCATGTGATTCAGCTCTTCAGGTAACTTACATTGTTAGAGGCAGTGGCCGAGTTCAGGTTGTTGGCCCTGATGGTAAGCGCGTGCTTGAAACACACATCAAGGCGGGCAATCTCTTCATTGTTCCAAGGTTCTTTGTCGTCTCCAAAATTGGTGATCCTGATGGCATGGACTGGTTCTCTATCATCACTACCCCTAAGTATGTATTTTCATTTTTATTTTTGTTTATGTCAATATACTAATTTACTTAACCAATTTCTAACCTTAAACAAACTTTTATGTGGCAGTCCAATTTTCACTCACTTGGCGGGAAGGACTTCAGTGTGGAAGGCGCTATCGCCACAAGTGCTGCAGGCTGCTTTCAAGGTTTCACCAGATGTAGAGAAGCAATTCAGCTCAAAGAGGACTGCAGAAGAGATTTTCTTCCCACCACCAAACTGATTTGATTGACCAAAGTTTACATCCTTTAATAAACTTAGTAATAAGAGTAGTAGTATTAGTAGTATAGAGGTTTTGGAATTGATGGTATACTGTTTTTGATTTGGATTTTTCTTTTGGCGTTCGGAACAAGAGTATCTTTGCTCTTCAGTCTTCATAATAATATCCTAGTTTAGTTAAGTATCTTTTGTTGGTTGCCGTTTTTTTTCTGAATTTGATCAGCTATTAAATCTAGACTGGTACTGGTTTCTCTTTAAGTTCCACAAGTATTAGAACATATATAAATTGCCTCATTTACCAAAATTTCAATCTTTGAAGAGGAAGATAGTTAAAATTTACAAATCTAAGAGAAAAAGAGATCATCTATTCTGATATTCTGACTAAGATATCTTGATCATATATGAGTTTCTTTATATAAATTTCCACTTTCCAGCTTCAAACCAAATAAAATCAATTGCCACATTGCTCTTTAGTTCAAGGTCTTAGACTTTCAGGAGTTATATCTTCAAAACCAAACAAAAAAGTTGCCAATTATTTAAAATCAGTTTGCAAATAACATTCTACAACAAGTGCTAACCAAAAAAAAAACAAAGGGTTAAGTTGCCAAAAGAGAATAGTTAAAGACTTACAGGGGCCAGTCGACGAAAGTTAAAAAGTTAAAAGGGCTCCGCTGCATTTTCCTCCTTTTATAAGTACTATATTATTCATTTCATTTTCATGGCGTTCCCTCCATCTTCAGTATAATAACACGCCAAAGTTCGAAACTGCGTATCACTATTGTTAGTTTGGGGAATTGGAATTGGGAAGAGAAAAACTCAAAAACAGATGCCGCTATTCAGCTCAATGGAGTGTGATTACCCATTAATCGACCCCAATTTCCGCGACTTCTGTGCTTCTCACGCCATTTATTCAGGTTCCCTTTTCTACACACTCATTTTTTTCCCCAGCTCGTTCTTATCAGTTTGAAGAGTCGACTTGTTCTGTGGATTAGCTCTAATTGGTTAAAAAAAATTGGCTATACCTTTTCCCCCTTTCTATTTTTGGGGATTCCATACATAAATATATGTGTGTGTGTGTGTGTGTGTGTGTGTTGGCGGAGACCTGAACTTCAAGTTGATGTCACTTTCTTTTTGTAGTGCCAATGTCGTTCCTATATTTCTTTTGCTGATATGATTTTGGGCAAAATATCCTCTGTTAGACTACAATTTTATGCAACTTAGCTCAATAGGTCACGGGTTTAAGTCGTGGAAGCAGCCATTAGTGCTTGCGTGCGGCCCTTCCCAGATCATGCGTGAACGCGGGATGCCTTGTGCACCAATCTGCTCTTTTTTAGCTCTAAAAGATAAATAACCGGATTTATAGATAACAAAAGTGGTGGATATAATTCTAGGACACCCTAAAAAAACACAATGAAATAAAAGTGGGTCTAAAGCATCTTTAAATGAAGAAGTATTGGAAAGTCCAGAGAAAAAGTTTAGCATGGAGGAAAAAGTTTTCCTAAAGGGGTGGACACAATTCTAGGACACCCAAAAAAAGATAGTAAGAAAGTTATTGGAACATAGGATAATGGATAAATATGAAGTTTATGTATTTCAGTAAATATTATTTTGTTCTTTTGTTTTTGCAGTTGAAGATTTTCTTCTACATGATCTTTACGTGTTAGTGATTTCAACAGAACAGCATCATAATTCTGAGAGATTGAAGGAGGTTTGATCTGCCTCATATGTAGTTTTCATATATCTGTCTTTTGGTATTTGATATTCCTATAATGATCTGATACATCCGTTTTACTTGTAATAAAATAGGGCATCACTCAGGTTCTGACTATCATCAATGGTCAGCATCAACCATGGGTAAATGGTCAGGAGTTGTTGGATGATGCTTTACAGAATAAACGCTCCTTGCCTACTGGATGTAGAAGGTACCAATGCTTGAACGCCCCATACTTTTATAGCTTCTTTGGCAGTAGATAACTGATGAATAGGACTACACTCGACCAGCATAGATGCGTTTCTTCATGGTGGATTAAAGAAGGGACATTTGACAGAGCTAGTTGGCCCGTCATCCTCTGGTAAAACACAAGTAAGAGTGTATTGATAATGCAAATTCTTTTGACATATTTTCTGTGGAGATTGTGTTGATTTCTGATTTTTGTTTCTTTGAAGTTAGATAAATCTTATGATTATTGAATTATTGAAGCATGTTTCATCTTTGAAGCCTCGTTTAGCTCTCAATTCTGTTGCTGATTCAAGATTATATTTTGGTCCAGATTTGCTTACGAGCTGCTTCAAGTGTTGCGGAAAGCTGGGGCAAAATCATTTTCTTGGACTCTGGAAATTCTTTCTCTTCAAAACGTGTTGCTCAATTTGTCACTCAGACATCAGATCCTTCTGCTTATGAGGTCAAACATGTTTCTAGCCTTTTGGATTAACCTTATTTCTTTGTCTTATGTTCTCATGTCTAAACTTACCAAAGAAACAATGAATAGACGTTTTCAACTGTGATTCCCTTAATTTTGTTATTTGTTGCTACCTAGGTAGGATACAACTCGGTTGGAGTTTCAGAAATCTCTGTGTTGATTGGCACACCAAAGTATCCAATGAAAGTTAGGGGTAGTGCTGAAACTTCTGATTAGATTACTAGATGTTTTTGTGTATGACTCCACATTCTCTATCTTACATATGCGGTGGTGAACAGAAAAAGGATACTTGCAGAATTGTTGGAAAGTCAATTCCTTATTCACTCTTTTGTAATTCTTTCTAGTTGATTTCCTTTATCATCATAATAGCTCTAGTTCTGTCATCAAATCATGGTATCATGTAGTTGATACATCATAAGTTGCACAGATCCATCTGATTATAGTTTATGACAGTTCCATAATTCGTGTTGAATGAATGTAAATACAAGAACTATGCTGTAAGAAGTTTCTTTGCGCTGCTAATTAACAAAACAAGTTGAAGTTAGAAGTTGATTATTTTATTTTTTCCTTTCTACTACTGACATGTGAACCAACAAGGACTGATTTGTACAGATTCATACTCCAATAGGACTTTCATTTCTCTTAGTAGGTCACATAGATTAGGCTTCCTCTTGTCCCAAATTCAGTTACATATGCAACATTGAATATCTACTAACTGGAGAATGTACTGTACAAATTAACGTTTGTCCAGCATGAATAATAGGGCTCTGGAGATTTATCATGCAAGATTGCAAGTTGCTGTCAATACCGTTTTCTCTCTCTGACATTTAACTCTTTCTGTAGGTGGACAGGGCCCTTCAAGCAGTAATGAACAACATAGTATGCTTGTCAGTGTTTGACATTTTTACACTGTTTGAAGTGCTTCATCAGCTAAAGAACAATCTCATATCTCAGGTTTTTGGAAATACAATGCTAAAATTTCTCTACTCTCATCTCATCTCCTTTTCCCTATTACCATGGATTGGGTACGAGTCCTCAGGGCACTCATTTCCGTGGGTATGATATGCAGGTAGATCAGCATATAAGTATGATTATCATTGACTCAATATCATCACTCATTACACCAATTCTTGGAGGAGGTGGTGCACAAGGTAATTTTTCACTAAAAGATGAAATGGTAATAACTTTATGGTTGTAATTTTTAATTATCCTTATTTATTAGTATATACTTTCTTAAGCAATTTAAGATTTAAGTTGTAGTTTCTTTATTTTAAGAAATATTTATTTTGTTCTTTTTAATGTAGTTTATTGGTTGACGAACTACAAATTCTAGGTTTAGATTTAGTTGTTTTTTTTCCTTTAGTATTTATATTCTAACTAGTTGGGATTGAAACTTAGTTGTTGATATATGCTCTCAGACATAATGCATCATTTGTGAGTTCCCCTACAATTTTTTCGTCGATTTGTTGTTTCTGCTGTCTACTATCCTAGTGCAAACTTGTTTCTAGGTATCTGATGGACGATTGCTTGTGAAAAAGATGTTAAATGGGAATAAAGGGGTAAATGTGCAAACTTAGCTTCCTACACTGATATTAATCTTGCTTTTCTGGATTTCGTTTCTTCCAAATAAATTTAATTTTATCCTGAGTTTCTTCTTCCATCTATAGGCAGCAGATGATTTGGTTTTTCCCTGCGGTATCATGTCCACAGATTTGTCAATTTACTTTTGTTGAATGAAGGAACAAAAATAGTGGAGAAATGTATAGAAGCTTTGCCATGTTCACTGCATAATTTGTTTCATATGTCTGAACTGTTTGTTGAAGTAGAAAACTTAAGTTTAATTCCATATATCAAAACTACCTGCTTGACTACTGATTCTCGAAGTAATAACTAAAGGGCTTGTTCTTTTTGCGTGAAACAGGACATGCTTTAATGGTTTCAGTGGGATTTTTACTAAAACGATTAACACATGAACATGATATCTGCATTTTGGTAAGTTTGGCAGTAACATAACATTAGCATGCTCTCTTTGCTGCAGCATTATTCATTCTCTATGGGGTATCATCTTTTGTCTTCTAATGCGCTTTTTTAACTGATGGATTTGATTTTCTTTTAACTGGATCAGTGGATTAGGCACATCAGCCAGAAACTTGAACGCGTCAAGTTGTTATATACTTACCATATGAACCTATTAATGGTTTAGATCTTCTAAAGGGAACTTCAGTTTTGTATTGATCCACATATTTCAAATTGGACTCAACAAGTAAATTCTAATTAAATTCCTATTTGTCCACCCGAACTTTTCTCTGTAAGTAATGGGGTATTGTAGTTCTACTTTCATTATAGGCTGTTAGTTTGCTAGATATCCTAATTGTGGACCTCATATAATATCTATCCTTCTGTGCTAGGTTACCAATCACATGGTGGCCGGTGAGAAAGGTACTTCCAAGCCAGCACTTGGGGAGAGTTGGAGGGGCATCCCGCATGTTAGACTTCTGTTATCCAGAGACCACACTCGGAACATCAGCAGCATGTCAGTACTTAGACACCCACACATGGTATGTTTCTTGCAAGAATAGCTCTATTGTTCAAACTTGGTTCTCAGCAACTTATCGAACTTCATTAGACTAATCAACCTAAACACCTGACTTTGCAACATCAATTTTTGATTCTGGATTTTGGTTTTATAAAGCTATAATGAAACACCATCATTGTGTCATGAAGATTAATTTCTAATAGTGGATATTTCATCCAGGCTACAGGAGATAGAGTTGAGTTCGAGGTACAATGATATCAGGCTTTATAATGCCTGAGAATCTTGGCTTTTAGTTTATCCAGGTATCGACTTGATGCTGTGGAATTGTAGAGGAAAATGTCAACTAATATATTTGTTAGGAAAGAAGAAAGATATGGCGACCTTGTGAGATGGAGATGAAGCTACGAGACTACTACATGTTTTTACTTTTATATGAAATGGATTGTGGTTCGTATTTTGTAGTCTCTCATTTGGACTGAGATGAAACTAATATTATTTTGACAGAAAATATTTACTGAATATAGAGGAGAAAATTACTTTCTTAATCAAAATTGTGAGTTGATGCTTGTATGGGTCAAAATCTGTTATAGAATATTTAAGATAAGATAACACTAAAGAAAGAGTCCTCGAGTTGTCGTCAGTCGAGGTTGACTAGGAAGTAGCGAGATTCGCGGTCAAGATGTCAACAATAATCGAGGTCGAGCACCGTTGATTAAGTTGTAATGGCTATTTTTTGAAATAGGATATTAAAGAGAATATTCTAGTGGATATTTTCTGCATTTGTACTATTAGGGTTTATTAGGAAAATGTCTCATATAAATAAAAAAATAGACAATGATATGGGGCATGTGACATTCATTTGATAAGAACAAACTTTTGACAAAAGATTCTCTCTTACTAGGATATAAACACTACCTTTTTATCAAGATTCTCGTTCATATTATTCCATACTTTTCCATTAGATCCGAGAATAATTTGAACATTCTAGGATTTGTCTATCATTCATCATTGTCAGGAGGAACAACCATCTAGTTCATCCTTTATTGGGTGAATCATTTCTCCTATTTACTTAAATGGCTTTTATTGTTATTTGTTGATATTAAGTGCTATATTATTGCTCGTACTTTTTGGAATAGTTATTGCACGTTGCTATCAATCTACCACCAGATCTGTTTGACATTAGTCACGTTTTCGGAACTCATAACTAGAAATATTATTATTAACTAGGTTTAACTTATTATCATATAGATTTAATTATTTGAACCAAAAGCTACATTTTTGGTCAAACAATTTGGCGCCTTCTGTGGGGATTTCTTAGTTAAGCTTTTAGTTTCTTCTAGATCTACAGCCAATATGGGTCACTAACGTAAAACAAAAGAAGCAAAAAACAAGATCTCCTTTCTTTGTACGTACAAATCCCAACATGGCAGGTAACCGAGAAGAAAAGATGAGAATAATAAGTGACCTCCCAACTAACCTCATGAACGTCATCAACGAAAGTTGTGAAACGGGAGACGAAGACGCAACGCCCAATGCTTCCCCCAGGCGAGATGGGTTGTCGTCTCCTCACTGCAACATCACAAAATCTCTTGGTAAGAGAGCCTCCACATATATGGGGGAGGAGACGCCCCCAGCTGTAAAAAAGCTCCTCGAAGCATGGCTAATTGACACGCTAACCAACATCCTCTACAAGTCTGCCTGGGACGCGACTACAGAAAACGCAAAGACTTGCACTATACAACCAGCAGACGAGCAGTGCAACCAACTCCCTCTTCCTTCGACGACATGTATTACTCACAATGTCATTAATAGTGCAGGTGACAACGCCCTCGCAACCATTTTGAAAAGGATGGAGGAAATGGAGAATGAGAACAAGGTATTTCGAGATCAAATGAAAGAACACCAGGAAATGGTCGATAAAATATCGGGCTCTCCCAAGCTATTTGATGTGCCGTAGAAATGTGGCACCTTTGATACTAATTACATAGTCTTTAGTTCATCTTTTAAAGCAGTATAAGTCATTTCTTATGTAGTTTTGGTATTTTGCAGGAAACCAGACTTGAAGAACCAAGAATAGGAAAAAGATAACAAAAACCCATGGAAAGGTAGAAATGCGGAAGGTTTGCGACCGCAAAAGTGATGTGTGGACCGCAGACCCATCACAGAGTGAAACAGACCACCCCAGTAATTGAGAGTCAAATCTGCGGTTCATTTTGCGGTCGCACAATTCATATGCGGACCGCATAGTGATCGCACAAATACAAAAGGATTTCCTGTGAAGATGATTTTGCGGTACGATATGCGGCCGCGAAACCAACATGCGGATCGCACAATCAAAATGCGATGAACAACTGGAAAACTCTGTGATCAGATCTGCGGTGAAAAAGAGAGATGTTCGGACTACGAATGTGTTCTACGGCCCGTTCTGCGACCCATTCTGTGGTTGTAGACTTTATCTGCAGGGTCATTTTTGTCACTTTTTGTCTACGACTTTTGGACCATTATAAATAGAATGACTAGTGTTTTTGTGGACCATCTTGTCTGAAAAAGAGGCTACACTTAGAGCATTGAATACACCATTATTTTGGAAGCTTTGAGAGAGAATTCAAAACTTTGTCCTCTTTGTAAGCTTTATGACTTTATTTATTACACACACACACACACACACACAATGGTTGGTTGATTTCTATTTATTTCTCATGCTTCATTTATGGTTGATGGTTGCAAACATTGACCAGTGCCATTTTACTTGGAAAAGTGGGTTAGGGTTTGGTAGAATTGAATAGTAAGAACTCAAGGCTTTAAACCTTGTTTAATAGAATCACTTAGAGATAAGTTGGTTCTACTTGGCATAGACTGGTTGTTCTTAATTGTAACTCTTTTATATTTGGGAAAATCATAAAGAGAAAATACTACCTAATTATTGAAAAATATTGGGTAGTCATTTAAGAACCATTTGCATATCAAAGGACCTTCCATTAGAAATATATCATATTCACACCGATAGCATTACATTCCATTGATGGGGATACAACCTTGGTTTCTTAATCAAATTAATCAAATTCTCTTAACAAAATAGCTTTTCTTGACAATTCACAATTACAAAACTCCTTTTAAACTAACGGAGTAGAACTATGGCTAAAGTCAAGTTTCACACTACTCAAGTAACCTTTTCACACCTATTCCCTGTGGGATTAGACCCCAACCTAGTTGGTTTATTATATTTGACCGTTTTACACCATTTATATAGGTGTAATTTGAGCGTATCAAATTTTGGCGTCGTTGCCGGGGAATACGGTTTTGAAATTACTAATTAATGTATGCTTTACTTTACATCTTCTTCTATTCCATCACACTTTGCTTGGTGTCATTAGGTAAACATGGGCGAGCTGGAAAAAGAGAATGTGTTTGCGGATATAGATGAGTATATTGAGGATACAAATGCCATTGTCTCTTCGAGAGTTGACGCTGCTACCTTCAAAGTGGAACACAGTCTAATCCTAATGCTAAAGGCAGAGGGGTTCTTCTGAAATTTCACCGATCCGACACAACATCTCATAAACTTTTTGGGTGTGTGTGCAATGCACAAGCAGAATCATGTCTCGGATGATTGCCCTAAGGTTGAGGGTGTTCAAGTACTCTTTAACCGTAGAGGTAAGACAGTGGATCCAAAATCTACCTCCTAATTCCATTCATACTTGGGTCGAGCTTGTCCTAGCTTTCCTAACAAAGCGGTTCCCACAAAGCAAGAAGTCCGAGCTTCAGGATAAAATTTTCTTCTTCAAGCAATTACCGGGAGAGCACCTACATGAGGCATAGGCTAGATTCAAGCTATATTTGGTGAGGTCACCGAATCATGGTTTTCCGGATACTATTTTGTTGGAGAAGTTTTACATGGACTTGGATCCTATGAATCAATCCATAGCCAAAAATGCGGCGAATGGATCATTTATGGATAAAATATTTGCTAGGGTCACACAAATCCTCGACAAGATGGCCGAACATAACTAAGTTTGGCACTCGGAAGACACCACGGGTGGAATTGCATATGGTACTCCTTCCTTGACCAACATGATTAAGGAGAACCAAGAAAGAGATCAAGTAATTATCGGGCTTACTACCAATGTCAACGTGTTGACAAAAATATTCATTGAAAGCCAAACAAAAAAGGTGAATGTTGTGGAAGATGTGCAACCAATGTCAAATGAGGAATACGAATAAGTAAATTATGTCAACAATTCACAAGGAAGATATCAAAGACAACCCTACCAAGGTTCAGGACAACAACACCAATGGAGATCTAAACCGCAAGGGCAAGGCAACCAACAATGGCGAAACGACCAAGGTAGTTCAAATCAAAGAAATTGGAGTAACAATAACAATAATTTTTCAAATCAGAGTTCAAACCCCTATGTTCCACCAAAGGGGCAATATTCTAGCTCTCCACATTGGAAAGAGAGTTCGTCAAGTGAGTCCAAGTTGGAAAACATGCTTGAAAGAGTATTGCTAAAAACAAGAGAGATCAGACACTTCAATGAAAAATATGACCGAGCTTGTGGGTTCTTACACTGCATCTATTCAAAAGTTGGAGATGCAAATGAGGGATTTCTCAAGAGAACAAAATCCGAAGCAAAACGGCACGCTCCCAAGTGATACAATTGCAAACTCAAAAGGTAGTGGGAGCAGCCCAACCTCTCGTTGTATGGACATTACAACTTGAAGTGGGAAACTACTTCAAGGAGAGAATGAACAAGTGGTCGAAGTGGAAGATTCTTAATAAGAAGTCAAGGCACAAGTTGAGGTGCCAAATGTTGTTGAAGTTGAAAGACTCTCGAATAAGGTAAAAGCTCAAGAAGTGAACCATTAAGAGGTTAAGGAAAAGGTAATAGAGGCACCAAAACCTCTAGCACCAATTCCTAGACCTCCCCATCTTTTACCTCAAAGAATAGCTAGAAGGGTTGATGATAGCAAACTAGAGAAGTTCTATGACATACTAAAGCAACTATCGGTGAATATTTCATTTGTGGAAGCATTTCAATAGATGCCGGGTTTTGCTAAGTACTTGAAAGACTTGATCACTAAAAAGAAAACCACCAAGAATGAAGTGGTGAATGTCACTCACCGGGTTAGTTCCATCATTGCAACAACGGTCGTCCAAAAGAAAGAGGACCTGGGAGCTTTCACAATTCCATGCACTATTGGATTGTGTGACTTTGCACGAGCCCTTTGTGATAATTGGGCTAGCATCAACTTGATGCCCCTTTCTATCTACAAGCTAGCGGGATTGGGAATGCCCAGGCCTACAAGTATGTGGTTGCAAATGGCCGACCGTTCGATAAAGCGACCGGTGGTAATAGTTGATGATGTGCTTGTGAAAGTGGGGAAGTTTATCCTTCCCGCCGACTTTGTTATTCTCGATTGTATTGTTGATAAAGAGATCCCTATCATCTTTGAGAGACCATTCCTTTCTACCGGGAGAGCACTTAGGACTCAGAATGAAATGAGATTAAGTTCTGAGTTAATGATGAATAAGTTACCTTTCAAGCAAACAAGGGTATGAAATTGCC